GGTTTTCGGGCGTGCCCGGTGGAGGACGGGGCGGGGAGGGGCGAGTGTAAGCCGTTGTGTCTCCGGTTCACCTTCCCAGAGTCTGGAGTCTAGACTCTGGAGTCTAGAGTCCTGACAGAGAAACCAATAGACCACGAGGCCAAATCATTCCCCCGAGGATGAGTAATAAATAATTTTAAAATCCCGACGGCAGGAGACCGAAGAGCAAAATGAATGCCTTCATTCGTGAATGGGATTTCTGACGAATCGGAAAAGAATCCGCATAGTCATAGTGAAAAGTCTGCACGAGACATCCGCATTCGCGATGCGAATCGACTCTTCACAGATTCTTTCCTGCAGCGGCTGCCACGCACGGAGACGTTTCTTCCCTTCTGCTTTGAAGGGCGAGAGCGTGAGTTCGATTGAATTTGACCAAGGATTGTGGGGGCGGGGGGAGGAAATGTGCACTTTGGTGCACTCGAGCGTTGTCCATCACGAAAATGAATTCATAGTCCGGTCCGATGATGGCAAGAAGTTCCAAAAAATCAGGAAACGCAACACGCGTGAGTCCCAACTCCATTGCCTGGTGGTACAAAAAGTCCACGAGAAGGGGCGACCCATAACCTGACGAGCCGACAAACCGAAATTTCCATTTGGTCTTGGTGTGCTTACCAGCTGGCCCGCCTCTTTAAAGGGACGGCGAAGTCCCTTTAAAGTCCTCTCCTTCCCTGCTGACGCGAATTCCTCGAGGAGGAATGCAGGCTTTCCCCTCCTTACACATGGGCTCAGAATCAAGTTTGGTATGAGTGCATTTCGGAATTTCGTAATTCGTGCTCACCAATAAAATGGCGATATAAATAATAAAATAGCACAGAGATTTTTATTAGAGAAAAAAAAATTTTTTTAAAAGATATCTCGTCTATTTTATCAACTGCTCGATACTCTGGGATAAGACTAATTGGCGACCTCCTTGTCTCCTGGAGACGCGATGCCCGCCTTCTCCCCGGGCGGGTAGGGCAGGGGGATGTCGAAGCCGAACATGGTGAAGGAGTACTCGATGTACATGTAGAAGGAAGATGGGGTCGTTCCCCGGACGCGGGAGTTCGGGCCGAATATCGGATTCGCCTGGGTCGCGTCCCGTTTCTTTCTGCAGACTCCCTCGCCGGATTCGGAGGATCCGCACGGCGATTCTGAAAGGAAAGAGCCGATTGTAAAATCCTGCCACTGGAATGCGGCAAAGGTTTCGTAACCTACGATGAAGTCCATCAGAATTAAACTAATTCTTTCCAGCTTTTTATTTCCCTCACGTGAAAAGCCGCCCGAGTTTCACACGTTTCCAAAGTTTTCTGCTGAAATTTGATGTAATTTGTCCGTGTAGGAAAAGATAAGTCATTTCCCCGGAAGAGAAAGGGAAAAAAGGTATACTATAACATTTCCTTCACGATGTCATAAATCCCAACCTCGGAGGAAATTCTCCACGATCGAATCGGCCAAGTGGACGGCCGGCATCCACCTCTCGACGAAGCCCATCTCCTCCCCGTCCCGCCTGTACAGATCCTTGAACGTGACTGCGACGACCGTCTGGATCCAGAGGGCGAAGGGCAGGAGGGCGAGTCCCGTTTTCAAGTTCATCTTTGGCTCTCGGCGAGCCGCGGCTTCGGTCTCTCGAGTCGGCCTGCTCCCGACCTTTCCCTGAAATTCATGAATTTGTCAATTATTTATTTTCAATTATTTCTGGACTCGAGAGGCTCATGCACACGGAATGCCGTGATCGATCGGCCAATGAAGGTCGCCGTGCGACCTAACGCTCAGAGGCGTAGTCGGGCATGCATGTCGAAATCGACACGCATCAGCCGATCGCTCGGCGACGTCGAGTGAACAGGTCTGTCTAGACCCGAGGTTTCGAAGGAAACCGCATCTAGACAGGGTTACGGGTCTTTCGAGAC